TTCGGTCGCTAAGCAAGGTAATTATTAAGTGAGTCAGCCCCAATTTTATGATCTTTTTTGCCATGGTTGTTAACGTGAATCATTGCAGTTAAATGAATCATGTAGTAAGCAAATCTGGCTTCCCCCATTGATTTTGCTTTTCAAAGACATCTAGGAAGGTTGCAAATGGCCATCACATAACACCAGGATGCTACAACTGTTGTAAATACATAAGATAAAGTTAAAGTTTCCATTGTCCAATTGTGTTCAACTTTGGGGACGGCATGCTCAGCCATTTTTTATCCATGGGAGTCAGCATTGTCTGAAGACGCTTCCATGGTCATGGAATACTATACACCAAGCTCACCGAACACTGTTACCTCCCCACCAATTTTACCTGTTTATCTTATCATATTTGCATATTTTGAACTGATAGGTGGGAAGGAGCTGGGCCAAGTAATGGAAGCTCACCCCATTATGCGCTAATAGATGCCAGTTGCCAAGCACCCAAATGTTGATGAGATGATTGTGGGAATGTTGTGAGGAACAATTGTAAGTCATTTTTAAGTGTTGTTGTAACTTGAAATGGTCACTAAATGAATTGTTGTAAGTTGACCAGCTGTATTCCATTTTTTAAATTTCCATGAAAATGTTTCTATTTAGCCATACATTTGTGGGAAGACAAACAATATAATAATAGATCCATATAACAGAGGTAGTTTATCAACATTTACTTACAAGATAACTGGTTGATATGAGTCCTTACCCCTATTACAAAGTGGCAGTAGAAGAAATACAAGTGATCTAGTTTTTTTCACCTATTTGTAGTACAAGACAGCTATTTAATTCTGGTGAGTGGAATATAGAAACTTTTTGCCTATGTCTATGACACAAAGTAACAATTACATTAAAAGATTCAGGATTAACTAGCTTAATAATATTCCTGTCTTTAACCATGTAGAGATTTCATTTTCTAATTGCTTTTGGAATGGAATGGAGTGGAGTGGAATGACAGTTGGAAGGAACCTTGGAGGTCTTCATTTCAACCCCTATACCATTTCAGACAAAGCGCTGCCTAGTTTCTTCTTAAAAAATCTCCAGCGATGGAGCACCCAGAGTTTCTGAAGGCAAGCCATTCTACTGGTTTATTTTTCTCCTTGTCTGGAAATGTCTCATTTCTAGCTTGGATCTCTCCTTGATTAGTTTCCATCCATTGCTTCATCATATCACCCCTAGTCCTTCTTTTCATTAGATTAGACATACTTAGTTCATGCATGTGTTGTTAATATCCTTTAGCTTCCAATCTCCTAATGATCTTTTTGCTTTTCCTTGCCTTTTTCCAGAGTCTCAATATTTTTTATATTATGGCAGTTAAAACTAGATGCCATAGTCCATGTGTGTTCTTGCCAAGGTATTATAACACTTTATCTGCTCTTGATTCTGCCTCTCTGTTAATGCAGCCTAAGCTGGTATTTTTGGCAGCTGCAGCATACTGATAGCTCATATTAAGTTATCTACCAGAACTCCCAGACGCATCTCACAGTTACTGTTGAGCAGGTACCATCTATTCCCTTAAGGTTTTTTTTTTTAAATTAATCTGGCAAAAACTACAGTATATGTTTTGAAGCACTTATATTCATATTCCCTTTGATTTGTTTAATATTTTGAGATGACACATAACACATTTATATTTAATATTTTCTTTTTTAAAGGAATCTAACAGAGTTACATTTTCATGCCAAGAGTTAATCACAGGTGTCGAGTCATATAAGGCTTTTTGTCTTGTCTTTAGTCATCTTAGAGGTGATCCTACTTACCCTGAAGTTAAATCATTAATTTTTAAAATTATATTATAGTCAATCTAATAAGAAAAATTATTTAGTGAAGTTATGTGAAATTAGAAAACAATAGTCAATAAAAAACAAAAACAGACAACTATAAACAATGCAATGTAGAACTAATTGCATGGTCTAAAATCAAACAGTAATGTAAAAGGAATGCTTTTGCTTGGCCTGAAAATATTACTTGTTTTCCTTAGGACATCACAAGTGAGAAGACTCTATTGCCATTCCTTTATATTTGAGTAACATACAGTATTTCAGTAACATAATATAGTAAGGACACTTGGCAAAGATGAGACAGTAACTGTGTTTGTTATTTTATCAAATTATAAACTAAGAAACTGTAGTAGCTTACACTTACTAATACATTGCCATCCACATTAGTACTAGTTGTACTGTGATTAATAATTATTTTTCAAAATCCCTTGGGTGTGTCTGGTTCATCAGTTAAACTAGTTTTATATATAAGGACTATAAAGCACTTTTGATAAAAGACAAATGAAAATAATGTCTCCTAACCAGAAGTCACAAATAGGATTACTTCCTTTCTTTAACAGAAAGATACACAGCATAATCAAAGTACTGTATGTTCATAATTTTATTTGCATCACACTTTCAATGTTTTTGTTCTTTTTTATCAGAAGTACAATTAGAATTTTTTATTGGATAGTTAATTTTCTTTATCAGAACAGAACATTTACATATCACAGTCTGCATCTTTAATTGTTACAAGGGACATGATCCCCCAGGCCTTGAAAACTATAAAACTATAAAATTATACGTATATTCTTACAAAGAGCTCTCTAAGGTTGTAATATATAAATCAAATTATACATTAGTTACTTTTTAAAGATATGTAGGGTTGTCATTTTAAAATATGACTTCCAGAGATGAATGAAAATTCCCTGAGAATTTCTGAGAATTGAAATGATAGTGACTAAGGGGAAGAAATGTTATAATCCATAAAACAAACTCCTCCCAAACAGAAAAAGCTACATGTAAAATTTAGGTTTATTCATAGAAATCTGGAACAAATAAGCCAAATGTTGGAACAATTTAGTTTTGAAGATTTTTTTACATAGATAAAAGAAAAATGTGGAAAAACTTCGCATGTGATAAACCAAACATTTTATATTGCATTTTATCATTTCCATATAAATCCAGTGTTTATTACTTTATACAGTACAGTGCAGGGTTTGCTGAAGTGTTTATCTCTAATGTACATATAATTATCAGCTCTCATTGTTTTCTCAAACATTCATTTCCACCAGTATTCACAGCTCAAGAAAGTGTTTTCACACATACACACACACATATACACAGAAACACACATATGAGACATCAAGTGGGTCAGGAAGATTCATAAAGTTTCACAAATTCACAAGAAAATTCTTTTTAAAAGAAGCTTAATTCAGAACAACATTTATTTTATATAAAAGTATTGTGATGAAAAGACTAATAAAGTAGCAGCTTTACCATCACAGCAATATTCTTCTTAATAGTTGGTTTTGGTGACATCAACTTTCAGGCTTCCCATCTTTGGTTGTGTTTAGGTGATCAAAACTATGCTGGAGCATAGACAATGAGGTCTTCAGCTGAAGTGATCAAAATTGCATGAGAAATACTCAACAAAATTATACTTTAAATCAGAAATGTAATTATTTCCAACTCAAAGCAATTCTAGGTTTTACAGGAAAATATTCTTATATCCCCTTTTCAGTTGGAGCCCTTAATAAGGACTTGCAAAGATAGAAAGAGGGGGAGGACACTAGTTTACTTGGCAGGTAGTGCTGTTTTAATTATCAGACTGAGATAACATCATGTTATACCAATGAAAGTCAGCCAGCATTTATTTAAGCTCTAGTTTTCTTCTGTATTACTCTGTACTTTCTTCTGTACTATTATTGGCACCAAGAGTTCCGAACCTTTAAGAAATCTTCCTAATTCTAATCAACGCAAAATGAAAAAAGGGAAAAGATAAAGCTCTCCCATCTCTCTGATTTTGGCTTCACCAGTCTCAACTTCTGTCTCCATTTATGTTAGTGTCCTGCCACTGATAAGACTCTGCAATTTATATTCTTGTATGCTTAAGGACTCCCCTAGATCTGCTTCCCTAATCTACCTTCTTATTTGTCAGGATAATCAGAAGGAAGATTATTGCAAGATCACTATATTGATAGTTGGTCACCTCATATCCAAACTGCTTTTAAAAGCTGTCTCTTTCGGATAATGATTGGTTCTATGTCATCCCCCTCTTCTAGGGTGAATCACCAGTAATTAGAACAATGAGCTTTTCACAATCCTCAGCATCCTCTGTCATCATTTGGTTTCAGATTTTAGCAACTACTGTACTAACAATATTAAACCATACAAACTTTCCTGTTTAAAGATGCACAATGCATCCTTCAGCATTATTCTCAGGTGACAGCATATTCAGTATAGCAGTTAGTTCATACTGTTACAGTTAAGGCTAGGCCATTCTTGCTGAATATAATAAGAGACTTCTGAACTAAACCAGTTTTAATACCATTAACTTGCTATAATCATAAAAAATTGTTAGAAAGTAAATGAAAAGCAATGTTGTTTCTTAATCCTCTAGATCAGTGTTTCTCAACCTTGGTAACTTTAACATGTGTGGACTCTAATTTCCAGAATGCTGACTTGGGAATTCTGGGAGTTGCAATCCATACATCTTAAAATTCTTAGGATGGGTAAAACTGCTCTAGTTATTCATAATAATGTCTGTACTTACATATACAATGGCTCAAAACAATAACACCAGGATACTTACCTGTTCAAGCAATGCTATAGAATCCTTTAACAACCCTTTCACATATTGGGCTTGATTCATGTTATGATGAGTTTTCTCCTTTGATGCCACATTAAGGGCTAGACTAAGGAAAGAACATAACATTAAAATGTAATATATTTGCTTCATCAAGCATGTTATTTAATCATGCTCTCATCTCTATATTAATTTTACTAGAAAAATCCACATTGAGACATATCCTAGATTACAGCATGGTGGATAGTATTTCAGTTATCTTATCAAAAATATTAAGGCTGAAAACTTTCAAGGAGAGAATATTACCATTTTGTACATTTTTTTTTTTGCAAACCTAAGACATTGTTCTATTACAAGTACCATAGAGTGCACCATCATTTCCCATATTGTTGTGAAAATAATAGATTATAGGATCATTCAAAATGACAAATAATCAAGTGACTTTGCAAGTAAATTGCCA